CCATGGCGGACACTATGCAGACCAGAAAGGCAGCTATTCCCTCTCTTAACCACTGATCCCTCAGTTGAATCCAAGCCTTGATGAAAGGAACCTTTCTGAGCCTGAAGATATGGACGGCCATGCCTTAAACACTTCTCCAGGTAGATAACCCCCAATTCCTTTAATCAAAGTTCTTTCTCACCCTTCTTGCTGGAGGACCAGTCATTTGGCAAGTGAAAGACTTAATGAAACGGCCTGAGAAGAAATGCCATTATAAATGCCAAATCCTTTCACTCATTGTCTTAGAAATCCAGAATTTTACTAACCCAACTAACCCTAGGGAAGGCTTTTGCACCCCATACAGTGGTGGACCCCTTCTGGGACACACCCTTCCATTCGTGGGTGTGCCGTAGTCTAGTGATTCCATCGTGCTTGTGATGGACACATTGTGGTTCTGCATATCTTTGATGCAACAATTCTGCAGAATCTTTGATACAACATTCCCACTTTTTTGATCAGGAAGCATGTACACACCAGGAAAGCGTCACCAGTTCCTAGGCACACCCGTATGTTGCCCTCTGCACTCGCTCACCCCACCTCCAGAAAGAATCCCCTGGGTCCCCATACTTCCCTCTGTCCCCAGGAAGGAAACTCACTCAGCATTACCCTGTGCTCACAGCCTGCCAACCATGTCCATTTTCATTTATCTTCCCCAAAACTCAAGAAAATAAATGAGAAGGCAAAGTGCCATTAGCTTAATGGCCTTTAACACCCAGCCATCTGCCATGATGTAATTAAATAAAAAAATCAGAGGGAGCATATGGTGTCCATTATAAATAAATATTAAAATTTTGTTTTTCTGGGTAATGACTCTAGTGCCTCTTGCTCCATGGGCAATCTTTACAGCCATCTTCGCTTGTTGCAGGGAGTCAGGCTGGGCCACTGTCGACAGGAATGGCCACGGAGAGGAAACGTGGAAAGGGTTCAGGGCCAGAGTCACACACTCCTGCATCCTCAGGGTCATGGTGGCTGTGTGATCTTCAGCAAGGGGCCTCTCTGCTACTTAGTTTTCTCACCTGCAAAATAGGGCCAATCCACCTGCCTCACTGGAAAGGCAGGAGGGTTAAATGGGCTACTGTTTTTAAAACACATAGCATCGTAATAACAATATGGGCTAGTATTTATTGAGCACCAACTATGTGACAGACACTGTCTAGAGAGTAACTTGTAATCCTTACAACAGCCCTATAAGAAAGGTTCCACTTGTTTGCTCCGTTTTACAGATGAGGAAATCAGAGCAGTGAAGTCATCTGTGCCGCGTCACACAGCTAGGAAGTGGTGGAACAGGCTTCCAGCCCAGGGAGTCTGGCTCTGGGGCCTGCAATCTTAACCGTATGCTAAACCTGTCATGACAGTTTCTTGGTAGATAATTATTCTCTGCCACAACTTTGGCCAACTAAACAAAACATTTACCTCTTCTCATGACAACACCCTTTGCCCAGACTTCAGACAAAGATAAAGATTCAATGAGTTGGTGCAATGATTGATGACTACCTAAGGTAGGTGTGGAGGATACATTTTGGGGAGTCTGTCTAGTGTGTGACACCCACCCCTTGCTTACAGAGGCAGACCCCAGGCGCTGTGTTTGCAGCATATTACCCTTCCCACTGGCATTGCTGGTGGATAATAGGTAGGCTCAGATCTAAAACGGGTCAATCCATTCTTGGCCTCAGAAATATGGAGTTGGGATTTGAGACATTCACATCTTTGCTGATCACTTAGACTATGGACCTGTAGCCTCAGGAGCTGTCACCAGATGCCCAAAGAAAGAGCAAAAGTTAAGTCTGCAAAGAGAAGAAGGAGAAGAAAGTAGCTGAGCAGAGAAGAGACACTGAACCGAGACAAAGAAGAGACAAAGGACCTGAGAAAGCCTTGGGTCCTTGATCTTGTAGGACCAAGCCTTCCAGGGTTATAGACAGCACTGAATGGGAAAACTTTTCATTTGTCTTTTCTTACTATGGTGCTAGGTACATACACCAAAAGGGCTCAATAAGCTACAGTTAGTCTTCAAAGGGCAACTCATAAAACAAAACTTACTCTTACCATACGATCCAGCAATTGTGCTCATGGGAATCTACCCAAAGGAATATGTACATCCAGACAGTGGAGTATTATTCAGGGCTAACTGACATGGAGGAAACTTAAATGCATATTACCAAGTGAAAGAAGCCAATCTGAAAAAGCTACACACTGTACAATTCCAAAGATATGATATTCTGGAAAAGGCAAAACTATGGAGACAATAAAAAGATCAGTGGTTGCTGAGGGCTAGAGGGAGGGTGAGTAGGTAGAGTATAGGATTTTTAGGACAGTGAAACTGCTCTGTATGATACTATAGTGGTGGATACATGTCATTATACATTTGTCCAAACCCACAGAAAGTATAACACCAAGAGTGAGCACTAATGGACACTGGGGACTTGGGTGATAATGATGTGTCAGTGTAGGTTCATTCACTGTAACAAATGGACCACTCTGGTGTGGGATGTTGATGGAGGGGCAGGCTGTTGCAGGAAGGTCTGGGGTTATATGGGAACTTTCTGTACTTGCCGCTCAATTTTGCTATGAACCTAAAATGGCTTTTTAAAAGTCTATTTAAAAAGCGGGGACAATCATATATTTGAAAATGCAGGCCGGGTGCGGTGGCTCAAGCCTGTAATCCCAGCACTTTAGGAGGCCGAGACGGGCGGATCATGAGGTCAGGAGATTGAGACCATCCTGGCTAACACGGTGAAACCCTGTCTCTACTAAAAAATACAAAAAAACTAGCCGGGCGAGGTGGCGGGCGCCTGTAGTCCCAGCTACTCGGGAGGCTGAGGCAGGAGAAAGGCCTGAACCCGGCATTTGCAAACTACCCATGTGACAACAGATTCAAATCCAGTCTAAAAAAAAAAAAAAAAAAAAAATGCAGAGACCCACTGAGGTATATGTCAATGAAATATCCAAACTGTGGGCTCCGGAGAAGAGGCCATGTTGTAGGAAGGGTCAGGGGTTGGAGAGGGATGAAGGGGTGAACTGACAGTCTCCCTTGTCCAGTGGTTTGGTGAAGGGGCCCCAAGGCGCAGGTCACCCAGTCCACTGGCCAACCCATGAGGCAGCTGGCAGCCCTTCTCCAAGTGCAGATCACTTTCTTCCCCAAGAGGGACTTCTGAAGGGACTTCTAAATCCCTATCATTAAGCCATCTGGAGTGATCCTTCTCCTCCAGAAGCTGCTGTGTCTTGGGTCAATTAGTGCACATTTGCATCGAGTTCCTTAATAGGCTGCTAATTGTCTGGGGGAGATAATGGATGACTCTGCTGGTTCTGGGCAGAGTGTTTACCCAAGGGGCAGACCTTCAGGGAATGGCAGAGAACAGGGAGGAAGGCAGGAGGGAGGAGATAGGGTGGACTGGGATAGGATGAACGGGAATGGCGGGGAGTAAGCTATCATTGACTCACATGCAGTAAGGAGAAATGTTATTTTGTGAACCTTTGTTTCGGTTGTGTGTGCGCCTCACGATGTCAAATGCATTTCTCACTGTGGGGTCACTGAAATAATTGGAAAGTCCTGGCAGTGGAGAATAGGAGGAAGCTGTGTGTGGTAGAGTGGTTCCCAAAGGCCCCTCTCAGAAGGGATTTGAGCTGAGATCTGCAAAATGACAAGGAGACAGTCATGGGAGGATCCGGGGCAAGAATGTCCCAGGCAGCGGGAGACACCATGCAGAGACTGGGAGGTGGAAAAGGGTCGGTGGGGGTCCATCCCACCAGGATTTATGGTTTCTGCTCAGGACTGTTCTTGAACTGAGTGTGACCGGAGCCCGTCTCCTTAATAATACAGTGAGGACATTCCTGTCCCAGTGGGATGTGATCACTTCTCAGAGGCTGAGCTGAAAAATGCTTGTTGATTGCTGGAGCTTAGAAAAGGCCAAGGTCCAGGTGCTTGGCAGGGCTTGTGGGAGGATCTAGAATTTCTTTCTGGCTGGGGCTCAGGGGAATGTGGCCCTCAAAGCCTAAAATATTTACCTTCTGGCCTTTTACAGAAAGTATTTGCTGACCCTTAATTTTCATCAGCAATGGAAGCTGATACAGAGTTTTTGGGGGAAGGGGCTTAGGACCACTGAAGCAGTTCAGTTCACCCTGTCCTCTTCAGAGCTCAAAGGCCACTCTCCGGTCACTCAGCGTCTTCCTTACAGCAAGTGACAGAGCTACAAGAAGCCTGGAGATCCAATACCTAGTGAAACAGCCTTCCTTTACATAGGGGAAACTGAGGCTCGGAGAAACTTGAATGAAATAACCTCTGTCCATATAAAATGTCTCGCATAGTCCTGGACCCAAGTAAGTGCTCAATACTTTTTAGCTGTTATCAAGATTATGATTATGATAGCATAGAATCCTAGAGTTCAAAAGGCCCTTAGACACCAACTAGTTCAGGTCTGATGTTTTACATATGAGGAACCCGGGGGTTCACAGAGGCTGGAGGAGTGGCCCAGAGTCACAGCCAGGCCAGGGCTGAGCTGGTTCCTGCCCTGCAAGTTTCTTCCCAGAGCACACGCTGCTCCCTGGCAGCCCTCATCGCTCCCAGCCGCAAACACAAGCAAATTGCCGTTTGCTGGTTCCACACTGACCACGGTGGATTGAACTCTAATTTAGGAATGGTGACAGCACCCATTAGCAACCCCTCTCCAGAGAGGAACTTTCCACCAAGAGTGAAAAACAACTGGCGTCCCCACCCCCAAATCACCCAAGTCCAATCTTTCTGTCCAAGCCAGTGTGTGTGTGTGTCTGCGGGGGTGGTGGTGAGGTGGTCTCTGTGATCCCCAGCCCACCTCTACAGGTTCAAATTCTCTTCCCCCCAGGAGAACCTGGTGCCCTTGGAGGGGTTGCCAGCACCTACCGCCGGCTCTGAGCAGGACTGAGAGGTGGGCTCACAGCCTTCAGAGCAGGAGGGAGGACTCTTCATGACCTCCAGGTCAGCTTCCTCACTGACATGTGGGGTAACTGAGGTCTAAAGTGGAGTTGGAGGGTGACTCTATCCAGACCCAGTTTTCCTGCATCCCAGCCTTCAGCCTTGGCAGCCTCCTGGGATGGAAGAAAAATGGATAAACACCTTTTGTTGCACACCTACTATGCGCCAGGCCCTTCCATGTACCCTGTGCCATTGCCTCTCCCCAGGGTCTCTGCTTGGTAGGTTGGGTTTAATCTCACTTTACAGATGAGACAAGCAAGGCCTGGAGAGGTCAGTCACCTTCCCGAAGGGCAGAGCTGGTGAGTGGCAGAACAAGACTCAACCCAGGCCTGTCTGACTCCAGACCCTTCATCCTAACCTCTACGTGGCATTGTCTTCTGTGGAAGTGCCACCCTCTGACCTCTGACCTCGGGGCCTCCTGTCTGTGGGGCAAGTGGGGTGATTCAGAGGCCTTCTGTACAAAAGAGCCTTTCTCCTCTGAATGCTCAGAGCCTGCACAGAAGGCGCGGGGGTTCCCAAGCCTTCAGTGGCCCAGGGAGTTCTGTTGGCATCCAACAGAGAGATGTCCCCTCACATGCAAGCAACGAGTGCCAGAAACTGACTGACCCTTCCATTCATGAAGACATCACCTGGACACCATCGTACCACAGAGAAGATGGCAGGAGTCCACACACGTGTGCAGAGACTCACGCATGCTGGAAGTGTGCACAGCCCCATGCCTGTCATCCCCCTCACCTCCAGCACACACACAGAGTTAACCAGCCCTATTGGTCCATATTCGTTTATAACACATGGTGGGAATTCTTATTTCCACTTCATGACTGAGAAACAGCAGACACCATGGGACCTGCGTGAGAAACATGGTTAGTCTTGGAGCTAAAACTAGAAACTGGATCGTCTCATTCTGACCAAAGGTGGTTTCTTCATCCCCTGGGATTGTCAAAAGAATAAAGCAGCACATGTCTTGAAAAGTCACGACCAGAGTTCCTCATCATCAGTGACACTGACACTTTGGACTGGGTAATTTGTTGGAGGGAGCTGTTCTGTGCATTGTAGGGTGGTTGGCAATATCCCTGGCCTGCACCTAACAGAAGAGAGAACCGGAACACTGCCCGTGGACCCATCTGAGTCCAGGCTTACAAAGTTTTGGTACCAGATTCTAGAGCTCCTTTCTAAGATTTTTATCCTAGCTCTCCATCATAAGATTCTATTGTGAGGTTCCACGCTAGGGTCCCCAACTTCTAGCACTCTATGCTGGGATATTAGGGTCCGTTCTGTGCAAGGAAAAGAAAAACTATACCAAAAGGAGGAAAAAGTTATGCTGGAAGCTGAGTCAGGCAAGAAACTGCCTCTCCTTTTGTTCCTTAAGCAGATAGCTACAGATAAAAGGTAAAATATCTCCACAGGTAGCTACTTGATGTTTACCTTATCTTATGTAAAGCGCTGATTTACTGAGTTGGAGACAAATAATGTAATTTATTCCTCTGCCTGCTTCTTTTCTCTTGCAACCTGGGGCTTTAGTAATGTGACCATACCCTCTTTCCCCTCCAGCTTGCCTTTCTCCTTTAAATACTGAAGCCCTCAAAGTCATCTCTGGGGAAACGCACAGACCTCTCTTCTGGATATATCCTTAACCCTGGCAAAATGAACTTTTAAACTGATTGAGACCTGTCTCAGATAGTTTTTGCTTTACAGTTTCAATGTTGGTGGGCTCTCCAGTTCTGAAATTTTGTTCTGAGCTCCTAAGATATCATCTCCTCCCATGTCAAGGTTGAAATTCTCTCCAGGAGACAGTCATGCCTCGCTGCCTTCCAGTGACCAGGATGAAAGATGCGCCCATGAATTATATATTTCAAGTCATCTCTAAATTGCCTGGCAATTACAGAACAGCAAGGTCAGGTGCCGGGAGCAGAACCTCCCCTTCGGCGGAGAAAGACGGATGGATGGAAACACATCGATTTACAGAAAGATGTTACCTCTTGGAGGTAGGTTTAGGAGTGATTTATTTTTTCATTTTGCAGATCTGTATTTTTGTTTTCCATAATTAACTGTGATTTAAAGAAAGAGATAGAGCGTGAGTTTTGATATCAGTTAGACTTGGGTTGGAATCTTGGCTCGTCACTTAACAGCAGTGAGAAGCTGAGGAAACCACCTAATCTCTCTAAGCCTTAGTTGCTTGCCCATAAAATGGGATGAGAATATGACAGGCAAAGCTTCTGGGTATTGACAGAGTTAGCTGCAGTAACCGTTTAAAATGCTTACCATGGGGCCAGGTGATTCCCAGGCCTCAGCACAACCACAGTTATTGTTATTTGCACTTTTGTATCAACAGGGGCAGCTATGGCTTGGTGAAAGGTGAGTTCTGGAATGCGTAAGAGTCCTCCTCCAGCTCTGTTACTTTGTAACTCAAGACCTTGGCAAGGCTTAAGCCCAGGAATTTGAGGTTGCAGTGAGCTATGATCATGCCATCGCACTCTAGCCTGGGGAACAGAGTGAGACCCTGTCTCTAAAAACAAATAAACAAAAAACCCTGAACAATCGCATGTCACCTCTCTGAGCCTCCATTTTCCCGACTTGTAAATGGGTGCCATCATGCCACCTCTCAGGGTCCCTGACAGGCATCTAGTCATCTAGTCCCCGTCGGTATCCCTTACTCTTCTTATCCCAGGCCAGAGGGCTGACACGCACAGAGTAAGGTGGAACAGGCACAGAAGTTAGAACTGGGGCAGTCTTGTATCTCTTAATTTATTTGGGATTCTTTTAAAAGAGAGTCCTCACCAGCCCCAACATTAATAGGTCTTTGCTGTCATGATGTCTTTAAATTTAGATGAACACCCCACACACAAACACGCATCCGCCCACACACCCCCAGGAATAAATCCGCCCGGGTGGGAGGGAGGAAGGTCTGTCTGGTTGCATCCCAGGGAGGAAGAGCGAGGCACGAGGGTTGGAATAGGATGCTGACGGCTGCAGCATGTCAGGTTCCTGAGGGGACAGGGAAGCTCCCTTCAGTCCTCATAAGTAGCACAGGACACCCTCTGCCCCCGGCGGCGCACAGGGAGTCTAGACAGGCTAGTCCCATGAAGAGGTCAACCAGATGACCACTAAGGTTCATGGGCTTGAGTCCGGACTCCCCTGCAGGACAGGCTGGGTGTCCTGAGTGACATTTGCAGCCTCTCTGAGCTGGGTTCCCCCATCTGTAGAGGAAGCGGTTGCAGGGCCATTTTCATAGGCTCACAACCTGCACTGTGTGGTCCCACAGGACCCACACTCAGAAGGCCTGCTGTGCTCAATTTAAAGTTCTGCTGTCGCTGTCTTGAAATTCTTAATAATTTTTGAAAAAGGAGCCCCACATTTTCATTTTGCCCTGCACCCTGCAAATTATGTAGTGGGTGCTGGGTGATTGTGAAAGTTGGAGGAGGCTCATGCTATGGTCTCAAACATCCCTTTTTCCTGTCCCCACCTTTTAACCTCATTCTAATGATGTGTAGCCTGGAGCAATTGGACTGAGCTTTCTCTTCCTCTGGCTCCTGCTTAGTAAAACACAAAAATAAAAACTACCTTAAAATTTCTTCTGGTTCCTACTTACTGCTCCCTCCCTCAACATTCAAACTACAGCTCATCCATTCATTCAACAAACATTCATTGAGTGACAGCCACTTGGCAAGCCAAGGTTTGTCCCACGGGCGTGGCCTGAGCCAAGGGATCTAGCCACAGTGAAAGTATCCTGCACAGACCACACAAATGCATCACCTCTGAGGAAAATTTCTCCCTCCTTGGCTGAAAAGACCTCTATGCTAATCAGTGGGAGCGAAATATTCTCCACTGTGGGGGCAGCATGTTTTTATATCTTCAGTTAAGAAACATGTATTGAGTACCTATTGTATGTCAGGTGCTGTGAATACATCCATGATGACATGGCCCCTGCCATCAGGAAAATGACAATCTTATATTTTAGCTCATAAAATCTTGGGGTCTGTCTTAATTTCAAGCACAATCAATCCCAATTTTACTTGTTGGGCTTCCAGAACCTTGAAATATATAATTTCTTTTCTTTTTTTAAATTTTTTTTTTTTTTTGAGATGGAGTTTTTCTCTGTCACCCAGGCTGGAGTGCAATGGTGTGACCTCAGCTCGCTGCCACCTCTGCTTCCCAGGTTCAAGAGATTCTCCTGCCTCAACCTCCTGAGTAGCTGGGATTACAGGCATCCGCCACCACGCCCCGCTAATTTTTTGTATTTGAAATGCATCATTTCTAATGTTCACCATGACTCTATAAGGTGAGTGCTATTCTCCCCATTATTCAAATGAGAAACTGAGGCTCAGATAGGTCCAGTGACTTGCCCAAGGTGACACAGGTCATAAGTGGCAGAGCTGGAATTTCAGCCTAGGGCTGTGTGGCTCCAGAGGGATTTTAGTGACACCACTGCTTCTGGTACTGAAGTTTACCTCCCCAAAGGAAACATGTACTCCTTGGAGCCAGGTCTTCCCCTCTCCTCTATGGCTAGCTCATTGCCAAGTCCTGGATGATCGTCTGGATCAAACCATTCCTGAAGGAATCTCAAGTACAATTGCCAATCCCACCACACAGAAGGGAGGCCTCACACAGCAAGTTGGTCTTTAAAGTCTCCTGAATCAGAGAGAAGAAGACCCTCCAGGCCAGAGAAAGCTACTGGCCATTAGCCACGTGGTTGCTGCAGTTTTATGTCCCATATGGAATCTGGTTTGGCCTTTTAGTTTGATCCAATCAGGCAACTCATTGCTACAGTGTGATGCTCAGGGGCTGCATAGAGCAGGAGTTCTCAAACTGGAGTGAGCTTGGAAATCCTTTAGGGGGCTTGTTAAAATACAGGCTCTGCACCCCCTGCCCTTCATCCCCCACTGAAAGTTCCTGACACAGCAGGACTCCGGTGCGGCCTGAAAATGTGTGTTTCTAACAGGCTTCCAGGTAAAGTTGATGCTGCTGGTCCAGGGACTAGAGTTTAAAAACCTTCTGTCCAGACAATTAGAACAGCCCATGTGAAAGTGATTAGAGGAGGCTGGAAAACAAAAAACAAAAAACAAAAAACAACAACTCAGAGTTTGATCCTTGGTGAGGGGACAGGTGGACCTTCACTTAAAGGCCAGCCTACTACTAGTGCCCATGAGACACCAGGTGTGTCCCAGAATCTTTCCGGGCCTCAGATTGCACATGTTAAGTGGACAGTATCTCCTTCAGAGGTTGTGAGAATTCAATGAGAATGAATGTCTTACCATAACTACCACAAACTCCTACTCAGAGGGTGCTTTCTACATAGGTGGTTGTGAGTTGAATTTTGTCTTCCCAAATTCATACGTGGACATCCTAACTGCCAGTACCCCAGAGTGTGACCTTCTTTGGAGACAGTCTCTTCACAGGGGTAATCCAGTTAAAATTAGGTCACTGGGGTGTGCTTTAATCTAACATGACAGGTAGCCTATGAGTATTGTTGCTATTACTGTGAATAGAAGAATAATACCACTGTTTAAAGTTTCTAAGAAGTTGTAGGATCCATAGTATAGGTCTTGGCTTACATGTAAAAATAAGCAGACAAAGAATATTGAGGCCCCGTCAGCATGTAAATGTCAAATGATTCAGCCATAGTTTACATCTTGACAGATGTGTGTGACTAAGGAGAAGGTGGTAAAGTATCTGATGTATAGTGCATAGCAAGGAACAGTCCTGTCATGATTTGAAGGGTCAGGCAAATGCCTAGAAGCGAGCCAACGTTTCACCATGCAGAGAGATTCGATGGGGCTGGTAGGTCGATGAATGAGTGACTGATACTTTTTATTAGGGGTTGTGCTTTTCAGATCTGGTCACCATGGATGCTAGTCACCACCATGCCCTTTCATAAGTGTCCTTACAAAAGGAGGAAATCGGGACAGATACATCCAGAGAGAAGACGCTATGAAGACACAGAGAAGACAGCCATCTATGCCAAGGAGAGGGGTGGGAAGCAAATCCTTTCCACAAAGACCTCAGAGGAACCAACCCTGCTGACACCTTAATTTTGGACTTCCAGCTTCCAGAACTGTGAGATAATAAATTTTGGTTGTTAAAGCTACTCAGCATGTGGTGTTTTGTTACAGCAACCCTGGCAAACTGATACACCAGTGCTCTGCACAGGACCTCAACACTTCCTTTTTCTTTTTTTTTTTTTTAATGAGAGAGAATTTATATGTGGCATGGTAAAAGCAAGTGCACAGGAAGTGACCCACCCAGATCAAGACTCTGAACATTCCCCTGGCTCCTAGAGGCTCTCTGCTGTCCCCTCTCAGCAAATCACCCTCCCCAGGGGCCATCACTTTTCTAACTTCTATCACCGTAGGTTAGCTTTGTACATTCTTGAGGCTCTTATTATTATTTTAGAAACGGGGTCTCACTATTTGCCCAGGCTAGTCTTGAACTCCTGAGCTCAAGTGTGATCCTCCCATCCTAGCCTCCCAAAATGCTGGGATTACAGGTATGAGCTACCACGCCCAGCCATTGAGCCTCATAAATGGCTGAACAATGTTGAACAAAGGAAGCTGGCCCCTTACATTTAAACTCATTTGTGCCATGACAGGCACTATAATTATCTTCATTTTACAGGTGTAGAATCAGAGGCCCAGAGAGCTTCAGTAACTTGCCCAAGGTCACACAGCTAGGGTGTAGTAGGCAGAGCCAGGATTTGACTGGGTAAATCTGGCTGCACTCACTATAGTTACTGCTTTTAAATACACAGCAAGTGCCCAGTAACTATAATCATGGCAACTTCTAACAAGCAGTAGCTCTCACTCTGGGCCAGGCACCATGCCAGCTCTCTCCACATTACTTCATCTAACTCTCACACCAGTCCTATTTAGTATTTTTAAAATATATCTATATAAAATAATACACATAATATATATTACATATATACACATACTAAATTTTCTATACCTCATAATATTACCAGTGAGAAATACTAATACAAGCCCCATTTAACAGAAGAGTAAACTGAGGCTCAGAGCACTGAAAAAGGGATGCAAGGTGATAGACTCAGCAAGTGGCAGAGCTGGGATGGCTTGCAGAACTCGTGCTTATGACTGACATCAGCTGCCTCCTGCCAGCTGCTGCTAAGAGCAGCACCAGGACCACAGATCTCAACAACCCGTGCTTTAATTAAAATCACAATGAGATGCCACCACACACCTGAGTTTTTCCAGTCCCCTCTAATCACTTTCACGTGGGCTATTCTAATTGTCTAGACAGGAGGTTTTTAAACTCCAGTACACACACATTGTACTGGAATGTCTCAGATAAAAAAACAAAAACCAAAAACTAATGCCAAGTGCTGGAGAGGATGTGGAGCAACTGGAACTCCCACCCACCCATGGTGGGAATGCAAAAAGATATACTGCCACTTTGGAAAACAGCTTGACCATTCCTTAAAAAGTTAAATGTCCATTCCTAGGTATTTCCCCAAGAGAAATGAAAACCCACGCTCGGGCAA